GCAGGCTGCAGACAAGCCTTCCCTGTGCTGGTTCTGAGGCGGAGTCACATCCTGCAGTGAGCGGGCACCTCTGCATCAGTGGCTGAGCCCAGTGACACTGTTGGGTCACCGGGGCAGGACAGTGCCATAGCCTTGAGTGCCAGCGGCAGGGCAGCATGGTGGTGTGCTCAGGTGGGAGAGCAGCCAATGCCAACCTGTGCACAGAGGCCGAGAGGTGTGTGGGTCTCACAGGACAAGCTGGGCAGGCACTGAGGCAGCTCTTGTACTGCAGAAGGACCCAGAGGACTGCGTGCCCATGGGGGCACTGCTGGGAGCCGGAGGCTGAGTGGGCCCCTACCTGCAGGGGAGGGCCAGGCTCCACAGGCAGAGGGAGCAACATGCAAGGGCGCAAAGGATGCAGCCAGTGAAGAGGCCGGAGAGCAGAGATGGGCAGCCCTGGGGCGCTTCTCACAGGGTGCCTGGTGAGAGGTGGTGGCCTTCACTGTTTGTCACTCACAAGCCTAAGTGGCCATTCGGGGCTCTGATCACCCAGGAGGGTGTGGACTTGGGGTTGGTCTGAGGATCTGAAGCAAAAGCCACAAACAATTGCAAACTGCAGAAAGAGCGCCAACTGCCTGCGGCACTTGGACTCTAGTGAAGGGATGTATGTGAATTCCCAAGACCAGTGGCCCCCAGCTGCAAATCCCACAGACATCTCCTTCGGGGCCTGCACTGAGGGGCTAATACACATGGACACACGACTGGACAGCTGGGCAGGTGTGGACAGAGCCAGCTTCCTCTCCCCTCTCGCTGGCCAGGAAAGGATGGGGAAGTGGGCAGGGCAGAGAGTGCACCTTGCAGGGCCCCCTGGGGTGTTTGGTGGGGTTGAGCTTTGGCTGGGTCTTCCCAGTTGGGAGCCATCAGACACCAGCCCTGGGTTGAGATGCTGGAAGTGGCAACCGTTTCTCCAGAGCCTGCATCTGTTCCCTTTGCTGCCACTTGCGTAGGGTGTGGCGTTTGTGATGTAATGAATAAGAACCGGGTCTGGGACCCAACCCTCCATGGCTTCAGACAGGTGACATCCCTGGGCCTCTGTGACTCTCCCAGGGTGGGCAGCCAGATGAACCCAGAGTGGGCATCAGCCATTGTTTGTTGGGTGCGTCCTGCTTCACGGGCCATCTTCTAAACTCTGCATCAGGACCTCGACGGAACCTTAAAGCAGCCATCTGGCTGGGTGGCATGAGTTCCCCTTGTGCTAACTGGGATGCCAAGACCCAGAGAAGGACCAAGGTCAAGCCTCCAAGGTCAGGCAGTATAAATTCGAACCAGTGGACTTCAGAGTGAATGGTAGTTTTCTAAACGTTGACTTTAGACAGGTTGCAAACAGAGCCAGCTGGGCCTGGGCTAAGGCTGTAGCAGCAAGGGCATCTGACATGGGAGCAGCCTTCTGAGCAGCCCTTCCCTGTGGGAAGTTCTGGTCTAGCAAATGATTTTATTTTTTTTTTTTTTACAAGGTCTCACTATGTAGCCCAGGCTGGCCGAAAACTCGTGGAGATCCACCTACCTCAGCTTCCTGAGTGCTGAGATTGTACAGGTGCAACACAGCACCCAGCTGGTCAGGCAAGAGGTAGGAAGCAGGCTTTGGTGTCCCACAGAAGGGTGCTCTGGTCCCAGCTGGACCCCTCACCAGACTGAATGAGTCACTAAGCCTCAAGGGCCACCTCTGCCACTTCTGACTGGACAATGCTAGAGCAGTGATTTCATTTCCCCAAGCCTCAGTTTACCAGTCTGAAAAATGGAGAAGAATAAGAAATGAAAGGGGAGATGGGCCGGGGATTTAGCTCAGTGGTTCCACTGCCTGCCTTGCAAACAAAAGGTCCCGAGTTCGATCCTCGGTACAAAGAAAAAAAAAGGGGGGGATCATAAAAATAACCACCTTGGGGCCAGGGATTTAGCTCAGTGGTTTCGCCTCCTACTGCGCAAGTGCAAGGACCCAAGTTCCATCCCCAGTACCAAAAAAATAAAAAAAATAACCACCTTGGTGGATGGTGTCATCAGGTCATTTAATTCTGACCTGGGCCACGTGGGTCCCTCCCAAAATTCAGCACCTGCGGTACTCATGGTGTGCGTGTTCTGGCCTAGCACACAGCGGAAGGAAAATTATTACCCAGCTCTGACCAGAGAGGATGGCAGCCTGGCAGATAGCGCTTCCCACACCACCCTGCACTTCTCGGAGCTGCACTTCCTGGAACAGCTGAGCTGGATCCCAGAACTGGCTCTGGCTCACTCAGGTCCCAACGCCAGGCTTCTAACTCCTACACCTCTTGCCTCCGCTCCTTGGCGCCTTTCATCATCCCCCCTGGGCCTGTGTTTTGGAAGAGTCTGACTCCCAGACAGGCTTCATGATTAAGTAATCATAACTTCCTTTTCCATTCTTTATTAATCAAAGACACGTGGAAGGCACTCAGCTTCTAATGGCCCGGGGGCAGCAGTGAGGCCGTGGACTGCAGCTCAAATGCAGCCTTGGTGGCTCGTGATCACCTCCAGTGGGGGGCTCCCAGCTCTGCTAGAGCAGCTCAAAACCTGTCTGAGAAGGTGACCAGACAGAGGGACCCACTGAGTGAGGCCCAGGCTTCCCTCACTTCTCAGAGAGTAGCAGGCCTAGGGCCGGGGATTTAGCTCAGTGGTTTCGCCGCCTGCTACGCAAGCTCAAGGACCTGAGTTCGATCCCTAGTACCAAAAAAAGAAATAAAAAATTGGAGAGTAGTAGGCCTGCTAGTGCCGTTACTGCAGGCCACTTCTCAGTGCTACTCCCACCATGACCAGCAGGTGGGGCTGTGGTGACAAAAGGCCCAGAGAACAGCAACTCCCAGGACCAGCAGCGGTGAAAGTGCATGGGGTGCCTGTAAAGCCCCATCTGTGGGTTAGCCCCCTGCTAGGAAGACAGAAATGAATAAGGATCCGTTCCCAACATCTCACTTCCTGACCCCCACCCCAGACGGGGGTGGGCAACTCCTATTTGTCCGTACATACCTTTGCAGCTTGCGGGTTTTGTATTCGAGCTGCTCCTTGCAACACATATTGATGTGATTATTCAGTTGTCCCACTGGCTCATGAGCCAAGTAGGACGCTGTGACCGTCACTGCTGCATCCTCAAGGGACCCCGCAGTCTCAGCCCACGGCAGGCCCCAGGGAAAGTGTGACAAGTTAATGAACACACGAAAGGCCACAGAAATAAACTTCAGGAGCCGGAACCGGAAGTGCTACAGAGATGCGCCTCTTTCCTCCGCCACTTTCTTCCAAACTCAAGTCCAGCTCAGCCATCCCCTCCCCCAAGGAGCCCCCATTCCTCCCTGGGCTCCCCCAAAACCCTTCCCAGCCTCACCCACTCTGCAGACAGGACTGCCCTCTGCCCTGGACAGTGAGCACCAGGATGGCACGGCCAGGTCACTGTCACCACTGTGTCCCCACCATCATGGGGACAAGCCCTGCTGACGGAGTGAGGGAACACACTGTGCTGGGGCAGGGGTGGGGGTTGGCCCGTGGCCTCCAAGTGGCAGGCAGGGGAGTAAATATTCAGACAGGGCCTCCAGCCTGCACTGTGACAGCGATGGGCAGAGAGGATGCGCTCCCATGCTGGGGGCCGGGACATCAGCCAGGCAAGGAGTTGCCAACTCATCCCGGGGCTGTGGGACGGCAGGGGGGAGCCGTCTGAAAACTGCCCCCTGGTAGATCGAGTGACATCCAGATCAGAGGGCCGGGGGTCCTCACCCTAACCCTCACCCCGAAGATGGGACTGACAGAAACTCTAGAGCATCAGGTACTGAGCTCTGCACCAGCATCTGCAAGTCCTGAGGTCAGGGGAGAAACTGCCTCACCTTAAGGGTGACAGTGAGGAGGTGGGCCTCTCCCCATCTCCTCATCACTATCTTTTGTTCAGTGGGGGTCTTTGGATTTGTTCCAGCTGAGGCCAGGACCCATTTTGATGTTTCCAGACTGGTTTGGTTGTTTGGTGTTTGTTTTTTTGTTTTTCCAGTACCAGGAATGATTTGCTTTTTTGATACAGGGTCTCATTATGTAGTTCAGGCTCACCTTGAATTCATTATGTAACCCAGACAGACCTAGAATTCTTGACAATCCTCCTGCCTCAGCCTCCTGGGTGCTGAGATTATAGGCATGTGCTACTATACCCAGCTTTCTTCTTTTTTTTTTTAGTAACTGGACTTTTTTATTGTTAAATTTAACCAAAATACTATTACTCAATTATGACGGCTATAAAAGTTTCTAAACACCCTGGTTTGTTTCAGTACTATATGTGGGGGTTTTTTGTGGTAAGATACCCATTATATAAAAGTTACTATTTTAACACTTTACACTTTCTAGCCAGTTACAAATCCAGTGGCATTTGGTACATTCACGCTGTTGGCAACCATTGCCACTCTAGTTCCAGAACCATTTCATTACCCCCAAAGAAAACCCCCTATCTATTAACTAGTAACCTGTTTAACTGGTCACCTCCCCTGTGGTGCTGGGGATTGAGCCCAGGGCCTTGCTCATGCTAGGCAAGCACTCTGCCACTGAGCTATCACCCCAGCTTTTTTTTTTTTTTTTTTCGGATGAGACAGAGTCTCGCTAAATTATCCTTGAGTTTGAAATACTCCTGCCTCAGCTTTACGAGTAGCTGGGATTACAGGTGTGTACCACTCTCCCCTGCTTTGAACTGTTTTTAACTCTCCCAAACATCCCTTGTTTTTCTTTTGTCTTTTTGTTCTTTCGTTCTTTTATGTGTGTGTGTTTTCAGTTGAGACAGGGTCTCACTGTGTAATTCAGGCTGGCCTTGAACTCACTATGTAGCCCAAGCTGGCCTCAAAACTGCAGCGATCCTCCTGCCTCAGCCTCCTGAGTGCTGGGATCACACGCATGTGCCACCACGCCTGGCTACCCCTTGTTTTTCTTGACTGTGATTTGAAACACAGCGACTGAAAGTAAATAAAAGTCAAAACAATGATGCCACGCTTGCTTTGCTTTGTTTTCAGATCATGTTTGCCCAGATAACAATGGCAACAACAATAACGGCAATAACAGTAATGGCTGGTGCAGCCCTTCTTCCAAGCCCTGTGCATAACTGATTTTCAGAGGCAGTCTCTCATCCTCACAGCTGTCCTGTAAACTAAGCCCCTGATTATAGTCAGGAGCACGAGGCACTCAGCAGGGCTGGGGGCGTCCAGGCAGCAAGCTGGGCCCTGCAGTGGTTTAGACCAACTGGCTCCACTTCATCCCTGCTGTGTGACCCAGGGCAGCGATTGCCCTCTCTGGGCCTCCACTCTAGCTCAGCACTAGAAGCTCTGATCACAGGCTGCTGAGTGGCTGAAGGATGTGCCTGGCATCCAGAAAGCACTTGCTTGTCTCCAGTTCACTGCTGAGCTCTCACAGCCCGAGGCTCTACCCCTTCCCAGGTTCAGCTTTATTGTTTTAGCCCAGGGATGAGTGAGAAAGGGGAACTGAGGCAGGCAGTGCCGGGGGGGGGGGGGCGGCTTCCAGTTGCCCTCCCCCAGCTCTCCATCCAACTCCCACTCCCTGGATCCCCAGCCCTGGGGAGGTGGGGCTGACTGGAAATCACCCCGCAGGGGCAGGGTCCAGAGCGGGACAGACTTCTCTGTGTCCCCAACACCAGGTGGCCTGGGCACCTCCTGAGTATTTATTGAATAAATGGTTGAATAAAATCTTTGCAAAGACTCCAAGGACAGGGAGGTGAGATCAGACCCTGTAAGGGGGCAATAAATTGCGCAGCCCCAGGGTACAGGCGCAGGACTGGGGTCTGCACTCTTGGCTGGTCCTCCTCCGCCCTTCAGCTGCCATCTTCTTCCCGGTCACCCTCGAAGACAGGCCACACCGCATGGCCCACCAAGCTATGGAGTCTCTTGGGTACCAGGCACATGTCCGCCAATGTCGCCTACAACACAACAGTCTCTCCCTTCCTCTCACCTTCCCTTGGGATCCAGGGCCCCCAAGAATGATGGAGAACAAGAAGCAGGGAACTTTTTGAGAATCCCTGGCTTGGGAGAGGGCAGAGCTTTCCCCTGGGGACCCCTCCTGATGGATAAAGATAGGAGCAGGAACCCTAACCCCAGTGGACCTCAGTACCCAGAAGCCCCTGGGAACTTTGCCACCTTCTAAATATTTTGACAGTGAGATGGATGGGGAGCCCAGGGCCAGGGCTGGCTGGCCAGGCCGTGGGCTATTTTGAGACAACTGTTCTTCAGTGCTCCAGGGTAATGTTCTCTCCTCCCACAGACTGCATGGCCACCCTGAAGGAGGGGAAATAGCAGCTAATCACCCCCAGAATTCGGGGGCCAAAGTTCTGGCTTCCACAGCCATGTCCCTGGTTTTCTGGCTCCTGGACCAGGAAGACAGGACAGGAGGTCACAGGGCCAGTTTCCAGAGGGTCAGCAGAGAGAGCAGGCGACTGAGGCCTCAGCTTTGGACCCCATTGCTGTTTCCACGGTGCTGCCGCCACCCGGCCTTGAGACAGGAGGAAAGGGCGCCACCTGCCCCTTACTCCAGGTGGACAGGGGCACCCAGTTCCCCTCTTTCCCCTCCAGAGCAGCAGGGGCCCAGGGGTCCCTCCTCCCCGAGGCTGGCCGGGACTGGAGTGTCTCTGAGTCGCCTCGGGCCGGCTGGGGACACAGACAGTGGAACCGGAGCCTGAGTCGCTGGAAGACGGCCTTGCGGAAGAGGATGAAGACCCAGGGGTCCAGGATGGGGTTGAAGGCGTTGAAGCGAAAAGCAAGGAGGTCTCCCATCTCACTGCTGTCGGGGGCGATGGCCTGTGTGAAGCCACGAATCTGGGTGCAGGAGGGCATGGAGAAGGGGCCATGAGTCCCCGCCTGCCCACCCTGGTTCCTCACCTCCCACTTGCTCACCACAGGGATGAGAGGGTGACACATCAGAGGGGAAGGAAGTAAGATAGGATGAAAACTTAGTCGCTAATGCACCCTGGAGCAGAGGGAGGGAAAGCACCTGCAGCTGCCTAGCAGGAGTGATGGGGCCGGGGAAGTGGGTGCCCTCACCCTTTGGACCTAGAAGGACCCTGGGGCTCACAGATGCTTGAGCCTGAGGGCTCGGGCCGCCTGAAATTGCACACAGAGCCAAGGTGCATCTGCGTGCATTGGAGTCGGAGTCAGGGTAACCCTCCCAGAGGCTTAATTAAGGACCCCAGACCCAGCCCAGCCCCTTGCCTTTTACAGAAAGAGAAACTGAGGCCCAGAATAAAGCTGAGATGATCAGGTGTCACAGACCCTGGTGCTGCTCCAGCAGAAAAGAGTCGGGTGGCGGCCTCAAAGAGCCCAGAACAAGTGCAGGGTGGGGTTGGGCTGGGAGAGCCGGAGCGCCAGAGGGAGGCTGGGCTCCAGAAGCTTTGGCTCTGGGTGAACATGGGCAAGTGACGCTGCCCCTCATCTGTACAAAGGGTGGCTGGCCAGGACTCGGTGCATTTCCTGCCCAGCGTTGCAGAATGGGTGTGAAAGGTTGTTTTGAGGCTTATCTGAGGAGGTATTTGGAAGCCACAGAGCATCCGGTGGACAGAAAGCAAGCGTTCCCAGTTGGGTCCTGCTGTCACAGGCTCAGGGGAGGTGGGGACTGCCTGATTGTGGAGGGGTCAGGGATGTAGAAAGAGACACAGGCATCAGTGGTCTAGAGGGGCAGAAGCAATGGAGAGGGGTCTGGCAAGTCTGGAGTTGTTTGGCCTGGACCAAGCCTCAGTCTGACGAGGTCAGACTTTAGTTTCCCTCTCCGTGGAAGAGGCCGACAGAGCTGGGTGCTGCTCTCCTGCCCCCTCCCCACCCCCAGCTCCAGGGAACACTCACCGTGAGTGGCAGGGAACACACGGTCATGATGATTGTCATGAGGGCCAGCAGGATCAGGTGGTCAACCTCATCCTCGCGTGACCCAGAGCTGGGGACCACCAAGCCCTGGTGGCGCTTCTGCTGGCGGTACATGCGGCAGAGGCTGAGGGTGACGGAGCTGTTGCACAGGATGATGGCACTCACCAGCAAGGCCACGAGGCTGGCGTAGGCCAGGGAGAAGGCGCAGCCGCTGGGCTCTGCCGAGCGCAGGCGGATGAAGCACCAGCTACCGGGGCAGTACTGCTGGTGCTGGCCCAGGCCCATCAAGGGCAGCGAGCAGAAGAACATGCAGAAGGCATAGATGGCGGGCAGCGCCAGGCGGGCACAGCGTGGCCCATCCAGCTGGGCATACAGGTAGGGGTGGCTGAGTGCCAGGCAGCGCTCCACCGCCATGGCAAAGAGGATGAGCGTGGAGGCCAGGCCGAAGAAGGTCATGGCAAAGGCGAAGGCGTCACACAGCGCCGGGCCCCCGCGGGCCAGGCCCAGCAGCGAGCTGTTGCGGGCATAGGCCACAAACACAGCCGGGCTCAGGAAGCACGTGCCCAGCAGGTCCGTCACTGCCAGCCCGGTGACCAGCACGGCGAAGGCCGATGGGCGGGACTGCCGCCGCGCGCTCAGGATGCCCAGGGCCAGCCCATTGCCCACCACGCCCGCCACGAACATCAGGGTGCTGGTGGCCGGTCCCACCGAGCCCCGCACGTAAGTGAGGTTCCGGCAGGAATCTGCCATCGCCTGAGGCAGTGTGCAGCCTGCGGTAGAGGGTTCCCAAGGGTGGGACCACTCGGATGCCTGCTGCAGGCCCCAGTCCTTCCGGCAGCCAGGGTCTGTCAGGCACCCCCTGCTTCTCCCGTGTGCGTGTGCGTCCCTCTCTGCCTGCCGTCCTCTCCGTCTCCTGCGGTGTCTCTGCGTCTCTTTCCTTCTCTGTCTCTGTCCTTTCCTCTCTCAGCGTCCCTAGCTCTTCCCTTCTGTCTCTGTCTTGCTGCCTCTGTGCCCCACCTCCCTCACTCCAGCCCCTATCTGCTCCTGCACTGCACTCCGGCCAGCGGCCCTGCAGCCCCACAGCCTCTCCTCAGCGGCTCCTGGCCCCAGTGCGCGTCTGCAAGCCTGAAGTCTGCGTAGGTCTCTGTGTCAGCTTCTCTGGCCCTGCCCGCCCCGCCCGCTGGCCCTCCCACTGCATCTTGCCTCCTCGCCCAGGCTTTCTCATTTCCTCTCTGCCCCGCCCCCCCTCGCCTTCTCCAGCGGCCCCCTGGGGCTCCCTGCCTCTCTCCCACCCTGCACACTGTCCCTGGGTCCATGGCCTGCGCCTGCCTCCCCTCTCCTGCTCCCTCAGTGCCCCCAAACAGCCGCCTGCTCGCTCCCATGCTTAGGTCTCTGTCCGCCCTCCCCTGGCATCTCCCTCGATGGTCAGGGTGAGCATCAGAGGCCCAGCACCCAGCTTCAGAGCCTACCAGGGGACCAGGGTGCCACCGGTCTCATGGGGCTGGCAGCTGGGGTTGTCTCAGGGGTGGCCTCTGGGATCTGTTCTGGGCTCCAGGCCCCAAGTTGGGACATGGCCCCTGGGATTGAGAAATGACCGGGAAATTCCTCCCTGATGCAGTGTTTTCCAGACACAAGTGAGATTTCTGGTCCCTGAACACAATTCACTCCTTCCAGAAGCTGAGGAAGGAGGTGGCCTGGCCAGACCTTGTCCCCGGGATCCCAGCTCATGAACGCAGAGTCCTGAGGAGGAACAGATCTGGTGTCCAGTCGTAGGGCCAGGCCTAGACTTCAGTGGTCCCTCATGGAAGAGCACAGTGAGGACCTCCTGCTTCTCACCAAGGCACATGCAGACCCCAAGCCAAGCTCTGATGACCTTGACCTCCAGGAATACTATTTTGGCCACAGATGGGTGGCCGTCCAGGGCTCCAGAATCGCTACCACATGGATGTCTTCCATCGTCCCCAAACAGCCCAGGCGCCACCTGCCAGGTCAGTGTGGTCAGTCCGCAGGTGCCAGCTGTCAGCACGGCAGAACAGGCCATTCCTACCCACCCAGTCCACAGCTCTCGGGGAGCCTCAGGAACCATGGGGGCCAGCTAGGACCTCAGAGAGCCTCCAGGCTCCTTGCAGCTAGAGTATAGAGATTCCAGACTCGGGATTCTGCATCTATTTGCCTTGTGTTTCTTTCCCATGTGTGTGTGTGTGTGTGTGTGTGTGTGTGTGTGTGTGTGTGACTGTGGATTGAACTCAGGGCCTTCACATTGAGCTACATCCCCAGCTCTTTTTAAATTTTTTATTTTGGAAGGGTTTTCGGCGTGGTGGGGGGGGGGGGTCTTGCTGAGTCAGTACATTGCCCAGGCTGGGCTCGAACTTATGATCCTCCCAGGGTACAAGACTGTCCCAACTTGACCACCTTTGTCCTGTGGGATGGTCCAAGGCAAGAAGAGGAAGCTGGAATGCCTCAGTTTCCTCTTCTGTACGATGCGTCACACCAGCCTGGCGTCTCTGTAGCCAGGGAAGATCCTGGGAGATATCTCATGTCCAAGGTCAAGAGCACTGCTCCTGACCCAAGGGCTGGACTGAGGGCAGCTGCGGTCTTGCTGTCTCTGTCCCCGCGCCCGGGAACACAGCCCCTTGCCCTTCCCCCCATCTGCCTATCACCCATGCCCAGCTGGCACCCCAGCTTCCGGCAGGATGGAAGCCCTGGCTCCAGCCACACCAGGGATCCCTGAGAGACCATGCAGCCCCACTCTGGGGCTGCCTTGCATGGGCCCCAGGCCTCCTGGCCATGTGGTTCCCCCACGCTCTCCGGTTCCCAGGCAGAGCAGCGAAAGGAAGTTATGTCATATTAATGAGGGACGATGCCTGGCAGGCTTGTGTCCTGTCTCAGCACCAGGGGAGTTGTGGGGGGAGGTGGGGAGCTCTGGTTCCCAGAGCTGTCTTCTGCTGGCCTCTTGTTCCCATCAGAATCAGGAAGTTCCCCCTGCTCCCGTGCCCAGGAGGACCTAGGACAAGCCCTGCTTTCCTCTAGGCCTCAGTTTCTCCTCCTGTGCCACTTGGGGACACAGCGCCTGGGTCAGCAGCTCATGGGTGACAGCCTCCTTCCTAACGAGGGCACCAAGGGCCCCGGGCTGGTGTCAGGCCTGCATGTGCCTCACACACTCCGGGGTAGGGCTGACCCCCAGCTGAGTCCACAGCAGGAGCCACTGGGGTGCCCCAGGAAGAGGAGTCTCCGCCTGCACTGGGGGAGAGCCATCTTCAGGACCTGGGAGCCAGAGGAGGAAGTGCCCGGGTGTCTGGGGTGACTCAGCAGCTCTCTCCTCTCTCCACCCACTGTGAGACAGGACTCACCCTCCCAGAGGGACCCAGGGCAGTGCAGAAGAGGAAGGAGAGCTGGAGGCCACAGAGAGCGGGCTGACTCAGGGACACGCCACTGGAGGGGAGGGGTGGGGACCCATAGAGGGCAGGTGCCAGGGCTGAGCCTGTGAACTTGGCATGGGAGTCTGTGCACAATTTGGGGTCATGCAGGATTTAAGTGAGGTTGTGTTTTTGTTTGTTTGTTTGTTTGTTTTGCACTGGGGATCTAACTCAGGACCTTGCACTTGCAAGGCAGGCGTGGTGTCACTGAGCTAAATCCCAGACTCTTGGTAGTTTTTCTTTTCCCCCTTGTGCTGGGGATCGAATCCAGGGCCTCACACATGTTCCTCAAGTGCTCTACCACTGAGCCGGCTCTTTTTGAGGAGAGTCTTCCTGAATTGCTCAGGCTAGTCTTGAACTTGTGGTTCTCCTGCCTCAGCCTCCTGAAGCAAGCTGAGATAACAGGTGTGCACTACCAGGCCCTAAGACAGTATTTGTTGTCAGCATGGTGATTGTGGGTTCACGTGTATGTGTGTGTCAGTGGGTGGGCAAAATTGTCTGCATGGCCTCTGTGAGTGCGTCTTTGCTGGCTGGCTGGTTTCTTTGTCTTTTGTTTGATTTTTTTTCTTTAATTTTTATTGGTATATGTTTTCCCAGTACTCTGAAGGCTGAGGCAGGAGGATCTCCCCAAGTTCAAGATTAGCATGGGTTATATAGTGAGTTTAGGGACAGCCTAAACTACACAGCAAGACCCTGTCTTGAAAAAACAGAAACAGTACATAATGTTTACATTCATTTTAGGACCTATGTACACATACTTATCATACATTAATTCTTTTTTGTTTTTTTTTTGTTTTTTTTGGAACCGGGGATCAAACTCGGGTCCTTGTGCCTGCGCAGCAGGGAGCAAAACCACTGAGCTAAATCCCCGGCCCCTGTTCTACAATATTTAAACTCATGTATCTGATTTACTTCACTTAACATTATGGTGTCAAAGTGTACCCAGTTCCCTACAAATGACTCAAATTTATTCTTCACAGCAGAGTAGTACTTCATTATGAATAAATCCCATTTTCTTTATCCATTCATCTGCTGATGGACATATAGCCCTCTTCCAAACATTAGCTACTATGAGTTGTGCTGCTAAAAATTTGGTATGCATGGATCACTGTAATATCATGTCTTCAACTCTCTTGGGAAGATACTTTGAAGGGGAATAGCTAAGTCAAATGGAATTTCTAGTTTTAGGGTTTTTTGTTTTTGTTTTTGAATCAGGATCTCTGTCTCTTGATGAAGTTCAGGCTGGCTTTGAACTCAAGGCAATTCTCCTGCCTCAGCCTCCCGAGTGCTGGGATCACAGGCATGTGCCACCATGCCTGGCTAGTTTTAGTTTTTGAGGACTCTCCATACTGACCTCCATAGTGACCTCACTAGTTTGCTGTCCTACCAACCATGTAGAAAGGTTCCTCTCCCCCGCTCCCCCTGCAGTCTCGGTGGCCAGCTGGTTTCTGTGTTGTGTGTGTGATTGTTGTGACCAGACAGAACTGTGTGGGTGGACACGGCCACATCTGTGCTGCTGTGTACCATGCGTGGTTGGAGCTGGGTGTGTATGTGTCCGTGTGTGAGAACGTGCGTAACACAAGTCCTGAATGTCTGCAGCCATGGCTACATCCTCGGGGTGCATTGCTAAGCTGTGTGGCTTTGTGGGTGAGGTTTTTCTTGAAGGGCATAGCTGGGTCTATCTGTGCATCAGTGTGTGTCTACTTAGTGTATGCTCATGCATTTTGGTGCTGGGTCTCCCTGTGTGTGTTTGTATGTGGAGGGTTCAATGAGAAGAGAATGGATTTTGTTTTTTCAGTTTTGGGGGTTTTTTTGTTTTTGATTTTAGCTTTTTGAGACAGGATTTCACTATGTAGTTCAGGCTGGTCTTGAACTCACTATGTAGTCTAGGCTGGGCTTGAACTCGTGGTGATCCTCTACAGTCATACACCCTGAATGCACCTGATCTCCTCTGATCTCAGAAGCTAAGCAGGGTTGGGCTTGGTTAGTACTTGGACAGGGAGAACTCGTGGCAATCATCCTGCCTCAGCCTCCCAAGTGCTGGGATTATAGGTGTACACCACCATCCCCAGCAGGAGTAGATTTTGAAGCTGTCTCTACCACTCACTACTTGTCTTGTGACCCCAAGAAAAAGACTTCCCTGACAAAGTCTTGATTCTCTTCAACAGAGGGCCACGTCGACCTCATTGGGCTGTTGTATGAAAATCAGGGGAAATCCACCCTTTCTGAGTCTCCAAAATTCTCCCAAAAGCTCCTGGTGTTATTCATTCAACAAACCTAACAGTTTCCTGTGTGCCAAGGTCTGGGGACAGAGGGGCCATGAGGGCACCTTGCAGTGGAGGAGTGAGTGTAAATCCACACAGCATGGAGACCTGGGCAGGGGGCCCTCAACTGAGGCATCCCCCGCCCAGCCAGGACTGCTGTCTGGGTGAGTGTAATCAAGAGAGCAAAGCTGCTAGGTGTGGTAGCGCAGGCCTATAATCCCAGCGTTCTGGGAGGCAGAGGCAGGAGGATTTTAAATTCAAGCACAGGCTGTATACCTTAGTGACTACCAAGACCTTGTCTACAGACAGGGACAGGGACAGGGAGAGAGAGACAGACAGACAGTCTAGGTATGAAGCCGTCACAAGCCTCTCCCACACCCACCTGCCACCTGCCACCTGCCCAGGCTGCATCTGGATATGCCACGGACTTGAGACTGCCACTGCCCTGGGCCCGACCCTCTTCTGCCTGCCTGGTTTCCGGCCTCCTGGCCCTGGCCCGGGAGAAGGCTCAACCCACCTCATACCCCACACATTCATACCACCAGCAGCCCACGCCTCGCTGGGCCTGCTGGCTGGCCTCTGCCCTCTTGCTGTGCCTGCTGCTTCTGTGAGAAGCTGCCCCAGGTCCACCCAGGCCTTGGCAGGGCCCACACCTATGGTCAGAGGCCATTTTCCTCTGCCTACCGCCCTGCACCCCGAATGGGGCCTTGCTGCCCTCCCTGCTCACCCCTGCTTCAGGGGGCTCTGCGCTGTCCCCTCCCTGCCCTGCCTTTGCCTGGGCTGTGCCCTCACCTGGGGAAACCCTCACTTCCCCTCCTCCAATTTCGCGCACTCAAACCTCTCCTGACAGCCTCCATGGAACCCTCCGGCTCCAATCCCCAAGGCCACCTGGCCATTTGATATGCCCTTCTCCAGGCCCGATGTCCATGCCTGCAAAATGGAGATAAACAGTGCCTTTGGGGCCCATGGTGAGGATCCAGTGAAATGGGGATCTCAAAAGGGACCCCTAGTAGGCCGTGGCTGAGATTCTCAGCCAGGCCACGCACTGCTCGGAACACACAAGGTCACCAAGGTCAGGGTTTGGGCACCTGGGTGTAAAGGGAAGACAGGCCAGGGTGGGGGAGCGGAAGGGGGACAAGCACTTCCCCAGGAGGCCACTTGGCCTCTGCTTGGCCTGGCCCTGACCCCAGCCTGGGCCTGGCCCTAGAGCTGACCTCACAGATGGATGACAGGAAAGAGCACCAGGTGACCAGACCTGGTGCTCTGGCCCACTTGTAAGGCTAATAGGATTAATTGGGTCTGCACACATAGCAGCTGGCTGGTCACCCAGGGACATGCCCTGTCCCTTCTGCCTTCTGGGTTCTCCCTCCTCCCAGCCTCCTTGCCTCCTTCCACCTCCCCTCTTCCTCCTGGTTCCTTCTGCACCCGGCTCCCCCGGCCCTTGCTCCCCGACACAAGAGCTCGGCATGTGCACCTCCCAGATTCCAGACTGGAAGAGTCAACGAAGTCTACGCTCCTGAAATCCCTACACTCCTGAAATGTCCAACTCAGGGTCCCTGCCAGACACTGAGATAAGACCCAGGGATCTCAGCCCACAGGTTGGCAGACCCTGGAATTGCATCTTCAGAGGTGCTAGGGTCCTAGATGCCTCCACATGTCAGGTTCTAGCTGCAAGGGTGCTGGGTCTGGCACATTCAGGAACCCTTCTGGCTCCATCCATCCCTAGCATCCTCCCTCCTCCCCCACCCCAGCTCATCCTTGGCTCTTTCCTGGTCCCCCTGCTCCCCCAGGGCTCCCACAGACATGATGCAACCAGGCTGAGCCGGCAGAGAGGTGGGAGGCAGGAGGGAGATGTAATTACAGCCACTCCTGCGCCAATCCTACAGAGAGCTCAGAGTTGGGGCCCAGGGGACCCTAATCGAATTTGAATAATGGAGCATTTGCCAGGCTCATGGAAGGTGCCCAGGGAAGAGATAACAGCAAGCCACCTCTAGCTGCATCTGAGAGTCCACCTCCCATCAGCTTGGGGCTGGAAGGGAGATGAAGGGCAAGGGGATAAAGGGGCTTGCAAACCCAATGGCCCTCAGGCCACCAGGTAAAGTGATTAAGCCAAACTCACCACCCACCCAGTCAGAGTTTTCCCCAATTTCTTTTCTTTTGTTTTTTCTTTCTTTTCTTTTTATTCTTTTTTTCCAGTATGGGGGATCGATCTCAGGACCTTGTGCTTGGCAGGCAGGTGCAGCACCACTGAGCTACATCCCCAGCCCTTCTTTAAAGATAGGATCTCAATATGTAGTTCAGGCTGGCCTTGAGCTCACTTTGTAGCCCAGGCTGACCTTGAACTCATGGAGATCCTCCTGCCTCAGCCTCCAGAGTGCTAGGACTACAGGCTTTTGCCACCACACCCAGCTCCCCAGTTTTAATGGAAACAGAATATTACACTTTTCACTGAAGCCCCAACACAGACTTCTTGATAAATGGCAACTGGCCTCAGCTTCTTTAACAGGGAGACAGTGGGGCATGGTAGGGACTTCGGCAGGGTGGAAGGCCAGGGTCAGTCACACAGCCTATGGTCACCCTGTGGGTTAGTGGACCTTACAATTTCAGAGAAGCTGAATGCGTGGGCTTTCAGTCAAAATACTTCTATTTTCCAAATTGGGAACCGAGTCAAGAATGTCTTTAAACATCATGTAGGCTAAAAGGGGAAAGCCAAAAAGTACGACAGCTGGTGCAAGCCACCAGTGTGTGTGCCGGGAAACAGAGAGCAGGGACAAGGACTGTCACAAGTCACTTCCTCTGTCCTTAAAATTTAAAAAAAAAAAAAAAAAAAAAAAGTTGTTTTTTGTTTTTTGGGTTTTTTTGCAGTACTGGGCATTGAACCCAGGGCCTTCACACTGAGCTACACCCCCAGGCCTTTTTTAATCTTTTTTTTTTTTTTTTTTTTTTTTTTTTTTTTTTTTTTGGTGCCGGGGATGGAACTCGGGTCCATTGCGCTTGCGCAGCAGGCGGTGAAACCACTGAGCTAAATCCCCGGCCCCTTTCTTAATCTTTTGAGACAGTGTCTTGTTAAATTGCCCAGGACTCCTCTAGCCAAGCTCTCCGTGCTTCAGGCTCCCAAGTTTTATCATCACCAGGTCCCGGTCCAGATGTCTCCTCCTCCAGGAAGTCCTTCCTGTCCCCCTAGCTGGGTCAGGCTCTCCAACATCTCTATCTAGGGACATGTCTGCCATTCCCACCAGACCCTCCGCCCCAGGAGGGCAGGACCAGGGCTCTCTAGGTCACAGCCACGTGTCCAGCTTCAACCAGCACAGCGCTGGTCACGGAGCAGTTGCTCAGGAGTGAACAGAGGAAAAGGCTGCTGCCTGAGGACAGCAGCTGGGAGGGGGCTGGCTATGAAAGGTGCGGCCTGAGTCTGGGCCTTCAGGGAGGAGCAGGCCCAGTCAGGGGAGCCTGGGGTCCACAGTCCTCACACCGACGTCATTATCTCCGAGCTCTGTGACTTTGAGGCTCAGTGTCCTCATCTGTAACACGAGTATCATGCAGTGTTCTCTGGGGCCACTGGGACAATTTTTAAATAAATTCAGGATCAGATCGTTGGGTCCTCGGTGAAGGACAGTTTCTTCCAAGGCTTTAATAGCGGTGTCTCGACATCCATGCAGCCCACGTTCCACACATACGCAGAAGCAAGAAGGAACACAGGTTCCCTCGAGTAGTCCCAAGCTCAGCGTATGCCTCACTTTTCCCAAAGCACAGGCACTACCACAGTCACTAAATTTATTGGACTCGTACTTTGGCAGGGGAGGGTAAGCCGTCGGGAGGGCTCACAGGAGGACGCAAAAGAGGCGCTTGTCTCGGAAAGGATTCTCAGCGGCGGGTACCGGAGTCACCAGGGGGTCGTCTTTGGCGTGCGTCTCGCAGAAAGCCAGGAGCTCCGCCGCCGCCTGCGACACCTGCAGGCGCGCAGGTGGATGTGTCGCAGCCCCGGTCTCACGGCTCCGCCCCTCGGAGTTACCCAAGCCCCGCCCTTCGTCCTGGCCCCTCCCCTGCGCGACCCCCACCTCCTCTCGTGCAGCCCCGCCCTGTCCCCGCCCCTGACCCGCCCGCCTAAGGGCCTGTGACTCCGCCCCCGCCCCCAAAGCGGGTCAGCGCGGACCCCCTCCCCATTCCTCGCCGACCCGGCACCTTCATGCGGTCGATGTTCACTTCCAGCTTCAGCTGTTCCACCGTCTTTCGGGCCTCGGCGATCTTGGCCATGTTGTTGGACATGGCTGCAGCAGGGTAGAGGTTAAACACCAGGCAGGAGTGGGGGGCACTGCGGGCTAGGACACGTCTGTGTCCCAAAGTAGGGTTGATGCGTGGTGGGACCCATTCACAGGGGCGTGGGTAGAAGGGCGTGCGAATGGGGGGCCCAGAGACGAGTACAGGAGGGGATGGAGACCCCTGTGGGGACCAGAGGAGAATGGAAGGGTGCCCAGATGGGTACCTACAGGCAAGTGGGGGAGGAACAGAGAGGGCCAGGGAGAAAGGAGAAACGCACAGATGGGAGGCGAAGAGGCCGACAGAGAGGGGCTAGAAGGCCAGGGCCACAGGTGCTGGATCAAGATCTAGGGATCCAGGTGTCCTCACCCCCCCGGGGATGGAGCAGGAGCCAGGAAGGGGGCCCCCTCCCCAGGCCAATTAGCGGTGGCTCCAGGGAGAGCTGAGAATTAAGATCGCGGCGGGAGGGGCACAGAGGGGGCCTCATTAGGGCCCTGGCAGCAGCTGCCCCCTCTGCCACCCTCAGGGAGCCCCCCACCCCCACCCCAGCCCTGGCTACCTCAAAGGCTGCTCTGCTCATTAGCAGCCAGGAGAGAGGGCTGGGGGAGCCCAAGCCAGCCGACAAGAGAAGGACAGGGAGGATGGAGCGACAGAGCAAGGGAGCGACAGAGGGCCAGAAGAGACAGGCACAGGCACGGGGGAGATAGAAACTGGGGATATGGAGAGAGAGATGGCAGGATGGAGGGATGAAGGAAGAAAATAGAGCGGGACCGACGGAGGGATAGAGGAAGGAGCAGAGTGACGCAGAGGAGAGAGGCACAGAGGGGACAGGGACAAAGAGGGAGACAGGGACAGAGACAGAAAGAACCAGCCAGAGAGAAATGGAGGGGCTGGGGGAGAGACGGATGGAGAAAGGGGAGGGTGGGGACAGATGGAGGGACAGAGGGAGAGACGAGCTGATGGAGACAGCAGTAGGGTCATCCACTCACTCACTCACTCACTCATTCATTCCCAGGCGGACCGACGGTGGCGCTGGAACGGACTGTCCGGACCGGAACCAGAGCCTCCTACCTGTTGCTGCTCACGGCTAGGATGGCTGTAGGGAGGCTGAGAGAAGCAGACGGGTCCCGGCCCCGGCCCGCCCCGCCCCCTCCCCTGGGGCGCAGCCCCTCAGGACCCGCCTCCTCCCGCAGCTGCCACCTCACCAGCCCCGGATCTCTCCCCCGTCCTAAGTCGGTCTGTTCCTCTTTGTCTCTCTCCTGTGTTTTGGTCGCTCCTGTTTTCTTAGGCTGTCTCTCACCCTCACAGGAAGACGGTCCCTCTAGGGACCGCATTTATTCCACAGTCACACAAGCCCCTCCTGTGGGTCCCACACTGCCTCTTACTGCATCACACGTACTCTCACCTGTCAGTTCGGTCACACTCGCCACCTTAGTGCTAGCCCATCAGCATGGCCCTGTCAGCAGCACACACACTCATGCTCCAAGTCCTCCACACGGACAGGCACACCATCGCGATGGCACACGGGAATGCCACTTTCATGAACAACCTGTGTCAACACAACCTCACAAGTTTTTCCCAAATGCCACACACAGTCATCATCTCTCGCCACAGACTACGTCAATTTCTCAAAATGTCACACAGACAGGTGTGCAATTTAAACCTCTCCCGCAGTCTGACACACATTTCTCAGTGTCCCACACAGTGACACGCCACCTGTCCAGTGCACATGAATAGATTCATATCTTCCTGTGCAAGGCCTCAATCTTACACACGATGCCTCAGTGTCTCATAGAATTCCGCACAACCTCAGCGTTTCACACACACTGCTGAGCTTCCGTGTGTGTCACACATGGCTGTCACAGTCGTTTGCTGTCTCACGAGTTCTCACACAGCCATCTCCAGCACTGCACACACTCACCCAGTGGCCTACAACCAGCCGTCAATCCCTGAGCCCGTCTCTGAGCATCACGCACGAGCTGTGCCACGCGTAGTCCACGGCCCCTCGGTGTGGCCGACACGCACAGTCTCGCTCTCAATCTGCCACACCCAGGTCCCCTCCTTGCTCACGCTGCCTGCTTATACTGTCACTTGGTGGACCCCAGCCCAGCTCGCCCTGCCTCGTGACACACGTGGCACTCTTGTCCCCTGCCCTTCACATACAGCGTCACACTCAGTCTCTCCAAATATGTTCTCTCAGTGTCAGAGTCCCCAAATTGCATCTCTCCCAGACCCAATCACACAGGATCCCCCACTGCCACACAGGGTCCCTGCAGTATCCCTGCAGTGTCACAGGAACTCCCGACCTCAGTGTCACACGGTCACCGACACCTAACTCGCACGTCCAGACCCTTCAGTCCCGCCCTGTCACTCATCCCTCTCGGCCGCACAGCCACACGGCCTCCCGGCGTCGGCGTCGCACAGCACCTCCACGTGTCACCCGCGGCCCCCACGCGTCTGCCTCACTCTCCTTCACACCGCTCGCAGCCCTCGGGCTCCTCCCGACCTCCCTGCCGGCCACACGGCGGCGCCCGTGGCCCGTGAGCCGCCACCCGACCCGCGCCGAAGCCACCAGGACATTGAGACTCGAGGGCTAGGCGCCCCCAACCGGCCCTGCGGGAGATGGAAGCGGCGACTGGGGCCGGAGAAAGGCGTGGGAGGGAGGCGGGGGAGGTGGAGGGGCCAGGGGCCAGAGGCAGAGGAGGGAAGATGGACAGAGAAATTCAGAGAGCTGAGAGTGGCGGGGAAAGACCGAGACACGGCTAGGGACACAGAGACGGTCCCTTAGAGGCAGAGACGGGGGGAATCAGAGCGAGACGGGCAGAGGACTGCAGGGAGAGCCCGGGCCCCGGCGGCGTGGCCTTGTGGGCGTGTCTCCAGGGCGGGGCTTCGGGTTTTTTCGGATCCGGGCGGTCGGCGCTTTGGGGAAGAGGTGGAGGTGGGGGAGGAGTAGAAGTGTCAACTGCAACCAGCTCAGCCCAGCTCGGATTTTAACGCCGGGCCGGGATGCCAGACCGGGATGCCAGACCGGCAGGGAGGAGACACTGGCTCCTGGTAGCCTTTTGATATCGGCGTGGGACCCGAGCTCCCTTCTTCCTCCCCCGCGGGCGCAGTAGGGCCAGGTTGGGGAGGGGAGCGGGGCCCACATCTGGAAAGCATCAGGCGCGCCGGACGTGCCAGGGCCTCGGCCGCCTGCGGGAGGGGGAGGGGAGCCAAGGCGCTCCCCCCAACACCGAGCGGGGTCCGCCGGCGCCGAGGAGGGGCCTGGGCGTGTGCCGAGCCCGGCGCCTCCCGCAGCTGGTTTCCATCAGCAGATCTGGCCGAGCAGCCCCTGAGGAGGAAACCCAGCTCAGAGCCGGGAAAGACGGGGCGACGACCCAACCATCCTTCCCTCCCTACCTCGGACAAAGGGCAGAGGCGGGGGAGGGGACAGAGGGACCTCTGCCGCCTTTCCAACCCCGGACAACCTTCGTTCCGGCCTTCTGCTGCGCTGGAGTCGCTCCAGCCTCGTAACAACCTAGTGCTCCATCATATTATTGTCCCCCTTATTTGGAGGAGGAAACTGAGATTCTGGTCTCGGATTCAAGTGATTAATGAAAGGCAGCATCGAATTCTGGGCCCAAAGGCCAAATCGCCTACTGAATGATGGCTGTTTTAAAGTTTCAAAAACTCAGCCCCTAATTCCATGTGCCACACCCTCAATGGATGGTAAATGTTTTTTTGGTGGGGCTGGTGTCATTCTTGACTCCCCTCGGGTCACTCTCCACAACTAATGTAGCAACAAATTCCAGTGAGGCCATCTCTGGGCTTCTCCAGAAGCAGACACTTCCTCCTTTCTGCCCCAGCTTGGTCCACCTGGGCTATTACAGTGGGCTCCTTGTTGGGCTCCTGGCATCTACAGCTGCCCCTCTCAACCTGTTCCCCCAGAGCAGCCAGAAAGACCCTGTTTAACACTGAAGCCTTGTGCTGGGAAGTGGTGGTGTATACCTGTGATTCCAGATTCTGGAAGGCTGACGCAGGAGGATCTCTAGTTTGATCCCAACCTGAGCACTTTATCAAAACCTTGTCTTAAAATAAAAATGAAAATAAAGGCTGAGCCAGGCATGGCGGTACACACTTGTAATCAATCCCAGGACTTGAGAGACTGAGGCAGGAGGCTCACCACAAATTAAAGGCCAGCCTGGTTATATAGTGAGTTCAAGGCCAGTCTGAACTATATAGCAAGACCCTGTCTCAAACAAAACAAAATAACAGTCTGGCAGTTCCTCAAAAGGTTAAACACAGAGCTATCATATGACAAAGCAAACCCCCTCCCCAGGTATATATGCGAAAGGCATGAACATATGCTGACCCAAAAACATGGACACAACCACAGCAGCTTCATTCATGACAACTTCAAAGTGGAAACAACCCCGTGTCTATCAGCTGATGGAAGGGCAAAGTAAACATAGGCTATCTAGGCAATAGAATAGCATTTCACAAGAGAAATCCAGTGCTGATACATGCTATCACCCTGATGAACACAAAAACATTATCCGGGTGAAAGAAGCCAGTCATAAAAGGCCACGTATTGTATGAGTCTGTTTATATATGATGTCCAGGACTGGCAAATCTATGCAAGACAAAAATACATTTGTGAGGGCCTAGGATTCAGCTCAGTGGTTTTGCCCCCTGCTCCAAAAGCACAAGGGGGCTGGGGATTTAGCTCAGTGGTTCCAGCGCCTGCCTCGAAAGCGCAAGGTCCTGAGTTCGATCCCTGGTACAAAAAAAAAAAAAAAAATTAGGGCCGGGGATTTAGCTCAGTGGTGCTGCTGCCTGCCTTGAAAGTGCAAGGACCCGAGTTCGATCTCCAGTACCAAAAAAGAAAAAAAAAAATACAGTCGTGATTGCCAGGGGCTGGGGAGCCTGGTGGATGACAGCTCAAGAATGTAGGTTTCTTCAGTATGATGGAAATGTTCTAGGGTTGATTGTGGTGATAGCTGCACAAATCTATAAAACTACTAAAAACCATTGAACTGTACACTTTACATGGGTGAATTTAGGGTATATGAATTATACTCAATAGAGCTGTTAACTATGCACTCCCCCCATCAAAAAACAAAAACAAGGGCCAGGGATTTAGCTCAGTGGTTTCGCCGCCTGCTGCGCAAGTGCAAGGACCCGAGTTAGATCCCCCGTACCAAAAAAAACAAAAAACAAAAAACCCCAAAACCCCCCAAAATAATCCCTCTTCTGCTCAGAATTTTCCCATGACTCCCACTTTATTTGGAGTAAAAACCAGAATCATACCCATGGCCCCCCATCCCACACAATGTGGTGGTCCTTCCCTCCTCTCCCCTTGATGCTCCAGCAACATGGCCACTATGATGTTCTGTTGCCAGGCCAGGCACATTCTGGACTTAGGGCCTTTGCACTATATAGTCTTTCCAGATGGGATGTTCTTCCCTATGAAATCCACAAGCCTCACTCCTCCACCTCCTTCAGCCCTCTTTCAAACGTGATCTTCTCTAGGCACCAGGCACAGTGGCACACATCTGTGATCCCAGCACTTGGGAGGCTGAGACAGGAGGATCACTGCAAGTTTGAGACCAGCCTGGGCTACATAGTGAGATCATGTCTCAAAAAAATAAAAATAAAAGCCGGGGACTTAGCTCAGTGGTTCCACCACCTGCCTCCCAAGTGCAAGGTCCCGAGTTTGAACCCCAGTTCCAAAATAAATTAAATTAAACTAAAAATTTTGGGGCCAGGGATTTAGCTCAGTGGTGCCATGCCTGCCTGGCAAGTGCAAGGTCCTGAATTGGATCCCTGGTACTGCAAACCAAAAAAAACAAAAACCTCAAATAGCCTATTCCTGCTCAGTCACTTAAACTCCCTACTCCTACTCAGTTCTCTCATTCCTCTGCTTAGTTTTCCCCCACACTCATCACGTTTTAACAAGTTGTAGAATGCATTATGTCAACACCCAACCCCAGCTTCCTTCCCTATCACCAGTTCCCTGTTTCCCTTTAGAAATAATCACATAGGGCTGGGGATTTAGCTCAGTGGTTCCACCACCTGCCCCACAAGTACAAGGACCCAAGTTCGATCCCCAGTACCCAAAATAAAATAGAAATAATCACATAGTAAATAAGCTTTGTAAAGAAGTGGTTAAAAATGCACTTTGGAGATAATGCCTGAATTTTATTTATTTATTTATTGAGAAAGAGTCTTGCTATGTATGTAGCCCAGGATGGCCTCAAACTTGTGGCAATCCTCCTGCCTCACCCTCCCAAGTGCCAGATTTAAAGAGATGCACCACCTTGCCCAGCTCATTACCCAAATTTAAATTCTGGCTTTACCACTTGTAAGTTTGAGGAAAGAAACTTATAAAGGCCTGGTGGCACACACCTGTAATTCCAGCTCTCGCCAGGCTGAGGCAGGAGCATTGCCATTAGATCCAGGCCAGCCTGAACTGCACAGTAAGACCCTGTCTCAAAAAAAAAGTTTCAAGAAAGTTACTTAAACCCTCTGTGCCTTAGTTTTTCCATACATAACATGGGCATAGTAATACTGGCTCCTTTGTTAGGTTGTTAGAATTAAGTAAGTCAATACATGCAAAGTGGTAAAAATGGAATTTGACATTAATAAATACTCAGAGTCAGCTGCTAAGTTTCTTGTTCGTTACAGTACTGGTGATTGAACCCAGGGCCTCATGCATAGTAGACAAGCACTCTACCTGTGAACTAATCCCCAAACTCTTTTTTTTTATATATATATATATTGAGACAGGGTCTTTCTTGGTAAGTTGCCCAGGCTAGCCTTGAACTTGCAATTTCCTGCCTCAGCCTCCTTTGGTACTGGGATTACAGGCGTGCACCACTGTGGTTAACTGTTATTTTTGGCGTGAAAGTCACCTATATGTACTTCAAGCATTCTGACCACTAGATGGCCTGTGTGGCCCTGTGAATGAGCCTCCTGCTTTCTAATTTCAGTCACCCCTTGTATGGAACAGATGTGGGGCACACAACCCCAAGACCCTGATAAGCACAGGCTTATCCTGGCAAACTAAGAAAAACACACATCCTCAGAATGGAACCAGGAGCCTTGCACATGCTAGGAATGTGCTCTACCACTGGGCTACACCCCAGCCCCAAAGAACCTCTTCTTTTCTTTTTAATAGCAAAACATTTATTGGTACATTTTAAGCATACATAATGATAACACTCATCGTTGGGAATTTGCACCTGTACATCGTACATCCTGCCTTTCCACTGCCCGCCATGTACAAAAGCTTTGTTTCCATTTTTTCCTTCTATTTTCACTTTTTTTTTCTCTTGTCCCTTCCTTTCTCCCTCCCTCCTCCCTGTTCCTTTTCCTATTCGAACATTTTCTTCCCATCTCCCAATATCTATTATACATTTTAGTCCTTATTTCTACCCGAAAGTAACCTTTTCTTACTGCTCCTCTGGCAGAAACACGCTCACACCTCAGTCCCCGGAGCACGGAAGCCCCATGCAGCAGGCACATCCTTAACTTTGTTCCCTGCCATATTCCCCAAGCTTGGCTGGGTGCCGGC